TAGAAACCGTATCTAGCGAGATAGTGTCGGTGACCTCAAATATTACTGATTGACTTTGCTTTGTGTTGACCCACGGAAAAGTGCTTAATCAGGTTAGCAACTTGTAGGGCTGGATCAGTCCCCTTCAAAAAGGTTTGATATAAACAATTGAAGCATGCTTTACCCCACGGTAAAGAAGGTGATGATCTAGTCAATGTTTCGATTATGGCGGGCTAAACAAAATCAGTCAGTTTTATGTCTTAATACATTCAATCGGGTAAAGGTTACCAAAATAAAATATATACTCCTCCACGATGAAGATAAAAAGCTGGGGACTTGATCTACTAATTGTTTCCCTTGTGAGTCAAGCAAAGGTTTCCCTTCTGACCATTCTGCCTTAAGTTCTGCGTAACATTCTCTCTCAAGAAAAGATTGGAAAATTTTTGTCTCTTGCATGTTTATTGAATTCTAATGTGCAACCTCAAGCATAGAAAATTAGTACATATCTGTGGTTTGGGTTTCAATATTACTACATATTAGTGATTTAGCACTGCCCACGTTTGCAATCCTTGAAGTTTTGCTCAATTCAAGTCAGCATTTGAATTGTATAAAATAGATTTGATTTTTGATTCCACGATTTTCAAAGCATTTTAATATGGATAATTACGAACATAAATGCATTTAAATTAATTAGCAGGGTCTTTTTTTCTCAGCATGACAAGGAATATTACAAATTTTAACACCAACTTCATGCTTAATTTTATAGTACGGAAAACTTGAATTCAACAATGTAGACAACAATATTGCTTATGTAATTCCATGGAAAAAGAAAATAATATATATACCTTAATTTATCTCTTGAATTATCAATTGAAGAATAGTTCTGCAAAAGGAGGCTAGCGTAGATTCTATGTAGTTGAAAGTTGAAAGTTGAATGTTGGTCAAGTTTGGCTTTACTATCCAGGATGGGAATTTGAGAGACAAAAATAAGCGACTTTTTACCTAATTAATTAGTGGCATCAATTGAAAAACATTTTAGGTAGTTATTTTCTTTTTAATAATAATTATTTAAGTAGACTGACCCATAAATTAATTAGCACTTTCTCATTCCTTTTGACAGAAAATTTCTCAATGGCAGACTTTTTTTACTCAAACATAACAGCTGGAATCATAATTAAGAATTTAGGTAATTCTCAAATTATGCTAAAGGCATTGAACTAACACAAAAGTGTTTGTCACAAATGTATATATAAAAGTTGGAAAATTCTCCAACTATTTTTGAAATCTACTCATGATAGCAAATCTGAACTAGGTAGAGAATTGTATAGTATAGAAGCCAAAGCTACTTTCTCGTTCGCCTTTCTCTCCAACTTGTATTTGACTTTCTTGGCTAATGATGCACTAAATTCCCGTAATATGCTGTTGCTTTCACTACGAGAAATTTATCTTTTTGGAGCAAGTTTTATCATATTGCAAAGTTTATCTCTTTCACAGCATATAATTATGATATTATGGTGCAATAGGATATTAGAAACCACACTAATTTCCCACCAATACCAATAGTAAACATAAAATTGCAATCACTTTTTGCATCATAAAAGATCTTATACTACAAAAGGTGTTACAAACTACATTTGAAGCCGAGATGTGTGTTACATTTTGCAATACCTTGGAACACTGCATAAAATTCATGTTACTAAATATAAATGTCACATAGTTTGTGGTAATTTTTTAAATTCTTTCATAATTAATTAGAATATATCTGAAATAAAACTAAAGTGTTGTTTGATAAACTTAAAAATTCAACACAGAAAAATTAAGTTCTGAATTTTTCTGAAATCTTAAGTATTGAATTTATGATATAAAATGTAAGGTACGCTATTAAAAATTAAATGTTGATTAGATATTTTATTAAACTTTTGTGCAAAAGGAAAAAAAATAGAACATAAGATTAATGTAATTAAATAATAACCGTTTCTTTAAATAAAATTGAGTTAATACATTAATTAACTTTTAACTACTTAAGATTAATTTTTAACACTTTTTTATTGAATATCTTCCATGAAGTAATTTTTTAAATTGAATTATCAAACATACCCTAGTTTAAGTTTGATAGGTTTTTTTTCTATTCCTTTTTTTAACTTCTTGCTTTTTACTTTCTATTTATTATGTAAAAAAAGAAAGATTATAACAAATAGCAAAAAATATCAACCAAGAGTCTTAATTTATTTCGATAACTTTGTTTACGGATTTTTTGTTTAAAAATTTTGAATGAGATGGATAATTTACCTCTTAATCAAATAAAGCAATTTTCCAATTAAGTGACTTAATATGACATGTGGCTATGTTAAATGTCAGCTTTACAGATTTTATTACATTTTGGCACACTTAATTGATGTAGGGTAAGAGTAGTCAACTGCTAAACTGTATTATATGACCCAAGTCTCTTGCCTTCGACTTATTTTTATTATCTCATACGATTTCAGAAAGAATTTTGATTAGCTGTAAAAAACATTTATAAAGTAACATGTTTGTCCCAGGCACGATAACAGCCCTAGCTGCTTTTCTTGACCTTCAAGTTTCCGCATTATTGATATGCCAATATTGTTTTTCACTTTTATTTTTTTTAAATGCAAGAAGGAAGATTCGATTTTTATTCTTTAGACAGGAGAATTATACATCAACCAATTAACTAAGTATTCAAGTGTTCTCTTTTGTTTATATACACCAAATTCATTCAAAACAAAATACAATTTGTTGAATTTTTTAAATCAATATTCAATCTAAAATCAATTGATGACGAGTGGAGAGACTCTTGTTATATTTATATGTTCAAGATATAATCAATTTACCTATCACATGGTACGAATCAAAAAAAGAACCAATGAATGGGATAGTTTGTATTTTGATAACATGTTAAATTTTAGGATAAAATGCACTAACACCTTTAAGTTTTAGTCATAATTTCACACAATTTTATTAATTTTTAAAATATACAGTCTGCCTCAAAAGAATCCCTTTCACTAGATAGCAGCCGTTAATCCATCCTTAATGTTGTTGTTAATTTGATGGCATTGATAATATTGAAAGACAAATTTATCGTTTATTAATTTTAAAAATTATCAAACTATAATTTTTCAAAAAAAAATACTCTACCCTACCTCTCACCAACCGGCCACCTTGCAATTGGATCTAGTTGGAGAGCGTTAAACCCAACCAGAGTGCTCCTATAAGGAGCACCGATCTGGTGCTCCACCAGGAGAGCAATAAGGAGTACCGATCTAGTGCTCTCCTGAGGTGGCTGGCTGGGGTCAAGAAGTATCACCGACCGACCTGAAAGAAAGGAAAAGAGTGCAAAAAGAATAAGGACGTTTTAGATATTTTATATTTTAGATATTAATGCCATTTATTTGTTTAGTACGATTTAAAAACTATTGGATCCATGTATAATTATAAATAAAAGTTGAGAAGATCAATGTATTTTATCTTAAATTTTAAGAATAACATCTAACCTAAATCCAATTGACAACAGAGGGAGAGACTCTTATTATATTTATATATCCAATATATCCCTAATTTAAGCTATATGGATTCTAATTAAGCATCACAAAGAAAAGAAAACATTTTCCTCTCTTGAATATTCATTTGGGAAAAAATAAAGTTCAATAAATTTCTTAGGTTATATATGATAATTAAAAATAATAAATCAACGATCATGTAAAACTCAGGTCTAATATTTCATTTTTGAAAATTCTTACATTTTAAATTAGACGGAGCTTGTAATTACAGGAATGGAAGAGATGCTTGTCCACCATGTAAAAGCCCAAAAAATATTCTCTAAACACCATATATGACAGCTCATAATCATCAATATGTAACACCTTTGAAAAGAGAGGTTTAGTATTAATCTGTAACCAGACATATGAATCATCTATATGTAAAAACAAGAAGAATAAATCTACTTATGATACCATACATTCAAGAAAGGCATTTGAATATACATACATACATACACACATACACACACACATATATACATAAAAGATGGCAAAATATGTTAAATGGAAAGTTGATGGTTAAAGCGTGGAGCTTCAATTTAAAGATTTCATGTTCGGATTTTGGGGAAGCAGATTAAGGTTTTATTTATTTTTTGTTTCTTTTTTCATTTTATACATGTGAAAACTTATGGGTTTTTGGACTAATTAATGGGAGATAGCTTTTTCTTATCTCCTAAATTTGGGTTCTCTTTTTCAAAATTCAAACCTCCAATTTTCAAATTGAAAGTTGAAACTCCAACCATTAGAGTACCCCCTCAAGCATAATAATAACGTTTACGTGATGACAGATGTATAGTTAACTATCATCATGCATAGCCCTAACCGATCTGACGGGACTCTCATATGAACTAGGAAATGATAATACTAATTACAAGTAACAAGTAAACATTTTGGGATTACTATCTTCAACAACTTTGTTTCTTGATTATTTTTTCTTAATGGTAAAACAATAACAATATATTACTCCACAGCAAAACAGAAGAGATAAGTTCAATTAAAGCATAGGCAGAGGAATTAGGGGAAAAGTTAAAGATATATAGTTGCCTTTAATTTGCCTCCTATTTTTAAATATGAGATGTACTGTAGTGAACTGGGTTTGAGTGGTTCAGTTTTGACCAAGTAAAACACCATAGTCTACTTGCGTGCTAATGAACTTGTGAAGTCACAAAATGAAAACAGTTGCTGGCAAAATGTTTAGGCACTCCTATACTCGATGCAAAGTTGAATAATTGGAATTGAGCTGAAATGCATGAACATGCACTTGTGAACATAAATCATTCTATTCAAATCAAATTATATGCCCCACGTTTTATTTGACCACTTGACAATCACCATCACCATCACCATACACTTGAATAAGGGAGTGAGATGAAGGGGGAGGAGACTTCCAAGAAATTGTGGGCGCCTATATGCCTTTAATGTTGATAAATATGAAATAAAATAATTGTACAGCCAAGCTTTTGCTTTTGGAGTTTTTGTCTCAACTCTCGATGCTGTAAATATTTATATAACCCTATAAATACTATTAGCATTTTGAGCTTATCAGTTCTTCGCATCTCCAAACAGAGCTAACAACGGAAGCCCAGTTTGTTCAGCTTTGAGAGAGAGAGAACGATGGTGAGAGCTCCATGCTGTGAGAAAATGGGGTTGAAGAAAGGTCCTTGGACCCCTGAAGAAGATCAGATTCTCATCAATTACATTAAACTCTACGGTCACGGCAACTGGCGAGCACTCCCAAAACAAGCTGGTAATTACTCGTTAATTAAATTGCATCAAATTTTAAGAATCTTCATTTGTTTCAAGATGTGCATCGAGCGAGCTCATCATCAAATCTTAGAAATGCGTGTAATTTAGTAGCATTGGTTTTGATCTTTTGCTCTTCTCTTCTCTTCTTCCTTTTTCCAGGTTTATTGAGGTGTGGAAAGAGTTGTAGACTTCGTTGGACAAACTACTTGAGGCCAGACATCAAACGAGGGAATTTCACCAGGGAGGAAGAGGATACCATAATCAACTTACATGAAATGCTTGGTAATAGGTGCGTATTGATTGAATTCCTGTGTTCCCAGAAACTTATATTTCTCTCTCAACCTTCGGCTTAATTGGCTTAATTAAACAAACCATAAGCCAAAACCAAAATATGTGGTAGGGATCGATTCAATTCATTCTGATATATGAAGGATCAATTAAGGTATGGTATGGAGCAGTGAAATCCGATATCCATTGATCCTCTCCAATAGTTTCTAGTTCTTTTCATTTGTTTGATTTAGATATTGGAATGTGCTGCTTACTATTAGAGCACATTGGTTTGATAACCATTTTTATTTTCAATTTGGTTAAATATAATCATAGAAACATGTGGGACTGAGAAGATTCCTTGCTGTGAATTGTCGCTATGCTTATTATGAACACGTTTCAAACATTAAAACAAATAATAATAATACTAATATCAAACAAGATTAGCACTTTGGTTAGTGCACGCATCTTTTCTCCTTGTGCCACTGAAAGACAAGTCTTTTCATCGTTTATTCATTTAAAAATTACTGTGGAAAGCAAGACCACCACATTGTTAGCTGCATAGGCTAAGCAGATTCTGATTCTCCTTCTGTTTTTCTTTGATTTTTTTCAGATGGTCGGCAATCGCGGCGAGATTACCGGGGCGAACAGACAATGAAATTAAAAACGTATGGCACACCCACTTGAAGAAGAGGCTGAAGCAGAGCCATGGCTCCAATGACAACAAGCGACAAGGCATTGATTCATCCAAAGACATCAAAAAAGAACAAGAACCCGTGAATTTTCTAAGCCCTGTAACTGATAGCCCCGGATGCAGGCCAGTTTCCTCACCAGAATCGAGCAGCGAGGTTTCCACAGTAACGACAAGCGAAAACAATAGTAACATGTGCATGAAGTTTGAAAAGCATGAAGATTTCTCTGAAATCGATGAGAACTTCTGGTCAGAGGTATTGTCGGCTGATAATTCAAGCATGGCCAGCGATTTTCAAGTGGTTGGTTCTGACCTTCAACCTCAGTACTTTCCAAGCTCCCCACTAGCAACATTTGAACCAGTCAATGACTATGGTTCAAATCTGTATGATAGTGATACTAACATGGATTTTTGGTATAATCTCTTCACTAGAGCTGGGGATTTACCAGAACAACCAGAAATTTGAGTAGTAATAATCAATCTATCCATCACGTTAGTTGTAACTTTTTTCTTTTTCTTTTCAATTTTGAACCTCATTTTTCAGATTGGAAATGAAGATAAAGACAAAAATAAATAATAATTTTGCCGCCTGTTGACCAGTATAAATGAAATCAGTAATGTTCAACGATCTTGAAACTGTCAAAACGTGCAAATTAGTCTTGCAAGCAAAATAATTTTGGCAGCATTAATATCCAATTTGGATGCTTGTAAATTAAACAAAACCACAATGTCAATGTGTGTATTTGTCAAGACTGGTTGGCAATACTTTTATAAACTTTTCATACTTTCACACCCAAAAAAGAAGTGTATCTTGATCAGCTGTGAAGTCAAATACTTGAGTTCATTAAAATGCTTGCTTCCATCAATATCATAATCCATGAAAGCTTTCAAGATGGAATAAAATTTTGCATGATTACATTCCTTAAATTATGGGTAACAATTGCAGGTCGAAAAGCTCATTTCGCAGCCTGGAAAACATGCAAGATTACAACACTAAATTATTCTCTTAAAAAACAAATTAATTCACAGCTTGTACTCAATATTGATTTTCTTGCCGGTTAGTAGGATTTATATCGCCAAAGATTTCAGCAAAGCATGATGCTGCCACAAAACAAGAAAGAGCAACGGGCGTTTTTAAAATGGCCACTAGGCATCAAATTGGAAACGGCTGGCTCGTTAGTCTCTTCTCTCACACTCACCAATAATAAATGATTTCTATATTTATCAACAGGCTCCACCAAATCGTTCATTAACAGGCAACGGATTTCGTATCAGATTTGGAGTAATCAAAATAGATTATAAAAACAGGTTAAAGAACACTTTTCTCAACGTAATCATTGTGTACTTGTTTTCCTACAAAGATATTATTTGCTCAAAGCACTCGATTGGGGTATGGGAGAGGGAGAGCAACATGTAGAAACAGGCAGTACCAATGCTTTGAATTTTATAATGGTCATTATTATAGAGTTTAAGTTTGAGTAGATTATAGAAAATATTCAATTCTATATACATATTCCATCAATTCAGGCGTGCAGAGATATATAATTAAGCCGGAATAAACCATATGAAAAGCAGATATAATTAATCCTTTTGACACACAAAACACTTTTCAAATTTAACCCTGCACTTTCATTTTAAACTTTAAATGAGAACTAGTCCAATTGAAGTCTTTGGTTAGCTTAGATTCTCAAGGAATTTGATAAATTGAATTTCAATGATGGTAGTAATATTTTTCTCGTGTTTTCAAATATAAGCAAATAGAAAACCCCAGAAGTTAACGTAGAGTAGCTTCACTACTCGCAGACAGACCATCTAAACGTGATACATGTGAGCAGCCCATGCCATTTGCTTGAAAGAACACATCCTCCTCCAAAGCGATGAAGCAGACGAGTCCAAAATGAGAGACGCATCTATCACATAAGGTGAAGCAAAATTCATGACATCAAGTGGTTGGTACTCCTAAGTAAAGGAATTGGTAATGAAAATGATGTGTGGCAATTAAGGGGAAAAGATTCAATCATATCAAATTCAATAAGAGGATTCAGAGAAACGAAATGAGCAAATTCAACTCTGGGCTGGGTGGTTTCCATCAATGTTGTAGCTAAAGGTGGCTAAACTGTTGCAAGTCCTCCAAAAACCTTGAGAATTGAGATACACATTAATCATATGATGAATTGGTTATAAAAAACTTCAACACTCCTTATCTTTAGGGTCAGAAATCACATGGGCCCAACTGTTGTACTAAGCGTTTTTGAGCACGATACATGTGAAATCTCTATAATCAACCAAAGAACTGATGAAAACCAGACACTACCAACATTTTGTCAGCTTATCTTTATTGGCTGATATTGGAGGAACACTGTTAAAAGATAAGATGCCTTTAGCTTGCTAAATTAGTTGACTGAACGGCTGAACGCCCATACCTGATCTGTTGTGGATTCAACATCACTGAAATGGGCCGGATTTTGGTGATGTAAGTGTATTTAAAATTCCAAACAAAACCAACCCCATGATTGAGATATTATTCACTGAATTTTTGCAAGAGGTTTCCCCTTTCGGCTTTTGGGCTTAACAAGATAATTTCTGTGGATACAATTTACAAACCCTCCCTCGGAATAAGAACATAACATGTTATCAGCTCTGTAAGATTCACATGCTTCTCATTAATGAGAATAAGACAGTTTAATTGACAGCTCATAACCCGTTTCTGTTGAGTGTTGAATGTGCAGAGTACCAGATTTTTTATGTTTCTAATGTCTAGATTATACATATAATATAGATGATTACAACTATTTCTTTCATAGTGAATGGGGCGTGTAAATCAATCAATTATTTATTTTTTTTAATAATAATATTTCAAACATCTAATACAACCTGTCCTACAAAATTAAACATATTATTTTTTTAAGTATTCAAAACATAATGATTAAATAGCATTAACTGTTAAAATTGTTTTTTCACCTATGTAGCATTAAATATTATAATGGATGAAAATATTAATGTGTTATTAATTAGTAGATAAGCACCTGGAATATGAAATAAATTACTGACACTAATATAATAATTTCTTGATTTATTTTTTTTTAAAAAAAAGAGATATGAAGAAAGAGAAATATATATTATCAAAATTTGAGTAAGTTTAGATCCAGTTCAAAGAAATGTTAAAAAATAGATTAAGTATCTGGATAAGTATTTCCTCTTAACATTTTGAAATTGCAACAATTGACCCTAATTTCTTTCATGTGTTCAAGAGATTGACTTTTGGTTTATGTTACATTTCCCCATTATAGTACTTGAATGGGTTCCATCCTGCAGTGACGTATAATAAAATAATCTTTTAGGACATAAATTTTAAATTAAAAAAATATAAAAAATCATTGTAGTATGATACATGCTTTACTAGTCATGCATTATTGGTATTTGTGTTGGGCATGTGGCTGTATGGCTTCAACTCGATGCATTTTAATTGCTCACGTGAAGAGACTTGGTTTCATGGTTTTAAGTGGCCTATGATTACGGGACATGGCCACATCCAATGGCTATGAATTTGCAAGATATTAAAAGTTTTTCTTCTCATTTTTTTAGCTGAATATAGCAAGGAGCTTTCTGTGAGAGAGAAAACAGAGTATCTTGTTCCATGGAGAGAGCAAGGGAGAGATAATTTTATTTAATGTTAATTTTATTATATTATTTCAATTGTTGTTAATCATAAGTTTTTGATAAAAAGCTTAAAATATTGAACTGTTTAAATTTGCTTATTTCTTGTATAGTTCATTTTATCGGTTTTTCCATGATTTTTTTTTTACATCGAAAGGTTTTTTCGCATATATTTGATGTTTTTTTTTTATTTTTTCAATGATATTTGCTATATCTGTCTATTTATGTTTACATTTCATTTATTGGCTTGGATTTATTATATTATAATTATTGGCGGCTTGAATACTATTGTTTGTTATGGAACGGATATTATATTATTGTGTTATTTGTTGCCTGCAGTGGCGGCGGGAGAGGGGTGGCGGCCACCATCCCTCAGTTTTAAATGTTTTTGTTTTTATGTGTATAAAATTTAAAACAAATACTTTTGTCACCCTAAATAAATTAAATAAATTTTTTTAAAATAATGGTAAATTATCTAAACCAAAATTTTAAGGATTTGTTCAATCCGTTCAAGGCTCAAATTTTAAATTTATTTTTTTGATAGATACCCTTCAATTTTTTTTTAACTTTCATTTTTTTCCTTTGGGTGTTTTTAAACGCTTCATCTCTTTTTTTTAGTTTTCGGCTTTGCACATGGTTTTCCCAAATTTTAAAATTATTTTTCATTTCGTTTTTCCCTTGTTTTCCTTTTTCTCTTTCATTTTTTCCCTGATAGAAACCCTTCAATTTTTTTAAAACCTTTCTTTCCTTTTTCTTTTCCCTTATTCTTTTTTTTTTTTATAGAAACCTTTCAGTTTGTTTTTTAAACGTTCATCTCTTTTTTTTTCTTGTTTTTCCTTTGCACACAATTTTCACCCTTTCTCCTACTCTCTTTTTTTAAATAATCAATCAAACAATTTTTTCCTTCTAACTCATACAAATATGAAATCCCTTTCTCGTATTCTTTTTTTTGGTAAATCAATCAAACAATTTTTTTCTCTTTAAGCTAAATAAATATACTAAAAACCTTTTAACTCACACAAATTTTGAAATCCCTAACATTTAAAATGAATCTATCATAATTCACAGGTGATATTTCTTTAATTCCCAAATCCCAATTCAATTTTAATTTTTACATTTGCTTTATATTAGTAATTACATTTGCTTTAGATTTTACAATTTTAATATTAGTACACTTATCATTTACATTGAGAAAAAGATTGCGAGAAATATTGACATGGATTTAGTTATTGATAACTTTGAAAGCATGAAAGCATGTTGAGCACAACTTACGATGCCTGATATAAAAATATAATATTAATTTTTTTTTCTTTGTGTTTGTTTATATTGGTGAATCAAAAAAATTATATCTAAATTGTTAATAAAATTTTATGTTATAATTTAATTTTATTTCAAAAGTGATTAATATTTTGCTCCAAATCAAATTATTGAACCAATCCATGACCTTGTATGATTACTCTTTGATCACCTTAATGGTCCCCTTGGAGTGCTAGAGGGAGGTGAATAACACTTAAAATTTTTTTATCAGTCCTTTAGAGCTTATAGAGCTCTTAATCAGCTACAAGAAGAAAGATTTAGAACTTGTTAAAATTAAAAAATAACAAGTAAGGAAGGTGGACAATGCAAGACTATTTATAATAGTTCGGTCCTCTTGACTTACATCTATTATCTTGATCTCTCAATCCATGAAATTAACATTTTCTACCAAGCTTTTATAAGATGAGCCTGTAACCCAAGCTCTAATCCCTTATAATGACTTTTCGAGTGCTTCCTACACTCTAAATACTCAAGAAAAAAAAAGAAAAAGAAGAACAACTAGAGATATTTACAAATTTGGAAAGATTACAAGCAAGATCAAACATTTTTTCTAGTATAAGAGTGAGAAACAAGTGTTTTTGGTGAGAGATATTTAGCTTTTTGCTCAAAATGGCTCGTTTCGTTTTCAATCTACCTTCTTTGACCGTTGGAGCT